TACGCGGTGATATATTGATGGAATACGGGTGTGATTTCTCAAACAACTGAATCAACAAGGTGCAATTCTGATGCATTTAATTCAACCAATTGCAAAATTTTTGAACAGAAAAATAAATTACACAGTCATTTACACTCAAATGAATGCTGATTTATGTTACAGCTGTATAGTTGCATTTTGGTTTAGGGTGTTGCAGGCATTTTCAAAAACAATATGCTATGAAAAAAAAAAGTGCTGATTCAGAAGTAATAAGACATTTGCCAGTACTTAGCTTGCAGAAAGTGGTGCATTGGCAGATTTAAACAGGGACAAAAATAATTAATTTACCAGTTGAAAACTATGCCCATTATTACATAGATGAGAAAATATTTTGACAAAATTATTTATTTGACAACTTGAAATGACAGTTCCTCTTTTGAATTCTAAAGTTTTGTTTTATACATGAATGTATAAACTTTCATCTATAGAGAGCATCTCGCCCCCTCCTCAACACCGAGTTATTACACTTAGTCCCTTGATCATGAAACTTACAGGGCTTAAAAAAATATGTTTCTCATGAGGTTGGGAGAAAAACTGCCCAATCGAACATGTAATAAACACCTCCATCCCCACTGCACCCCCCTTTTTCACAAATTCCTGGATCCGCCTAAGATATTAATATGACAATGTCAATAACACTACTTGAACATAAACCAGTGAAAATGACATATTCGTACACTTATCTTAGATTAATAAAAAAAAACATTGTGTACATCATACCTGGTGTAGGATAAGGAATACTTGGGAAATCTGCATTTAAAACCATTTTGAAAGCCTTCAGTTTTTAATGCATGACTTGACAGGTGGATTTAAATACATACATGACTGTATTTTAAAAATGATTGTACAGGTGTAAACCTATACACATTCATATGTGCATGTACACATTTCATGAAGTCAGTCATTTTCAACAGGTTTCTTGATCAGCTTACAGTCATATAATTATTTTGATAGGTCTTGATCTGTACACTTACATTCAGAACTTTCTTAAATTCCTAAAAACAAACTCTTAACAAATCACACTAAACTTTTGATACACTCCAAACCACTGCCAAAATGTTTACACAGGTAGTGTGGTCACTGAACCAGAAACTATATGGCCAGCAAACCATGTCCCTATACAGTACACCTGTACTTTGTCAATGAACTTTAACATTATTAATTTTTTTTTTGTCTAAATGTGAAAAATTTAGCTTTTTTGGATCACATTTATACTTAACTGACCCCCCCCCCCAACCTCCTTGCTTAAAATATTGTGACTAAAGTCTTTGAACAGGGGCAAGGAATCTCATTTTCATTAAAGTCTATGAAAAACAAATTAATACCTGAAATGGCACTTTCAATTTTAAAAACATTTAAATGATTATGGAAATCGCACTTGGTGTTAAATTTGATTTTGTTGCAAAATCAAAATTATCTAAATGCATGAATTGACTGAAAAAAAAAAATAATTATAGCTAAGGAAACAAAATTAAAAACCTGTAACTGGCTATAGTTGCTTTTAAAAGGGGCAATTAATTTATACACACAAAATTAAATTAAAATCAACAATCTAAATACATTGACAATTATTAGTTTTAATTTTCACTTACCTAAGTGAGTTTATATTCCTCCATATTTATTACCAAAGTCTGCTAAATATTAGGTCCATGTGGTTTGATAGAATATCATATAAACACCCATAAAGTTAACACTGCATGTATGTAAATGGTTATATACTTCATGAAGAGGAAAATGCATTATTCTAAGCAAATTGCCTGGAGACCCTATTTATGTTCCATTTATCCGCTCTCAAATGTGATTTTAAATTACACCCTATAATTCAGTGATTTTTATGTGTGTGTGTCGGATAAATAATGAAAAAAAAATCTCCATAATGCATTAGATCATGGCTATGACGATAGCTTATTACAATGACAGGTACAAGATAACTACGGAAACATAATTCCTATCTGTGCTAGGAATCAGGCACGAGATGGGCATCTCGTCGGGAGTCCGGAAAACATGGGAGTGAAACTGTACAACAATATCATTGTACAATACTTATCAAGTGATTTAACCCACACAGACGAAATATCAAAATTATATCTACCTTAGATCAAGGAATGGGGGAGCAGTCTGCAGATTTTGACAAAAATATTGCATTCATGAAATTATCAACTTACATTAGTAATTCCAAATACTACAAAAATGTCAAAATTTTATGAATCATAGTGAAATAGATTGAGGGAGAAAGAGATTTTTATAATTTAATGCCCTTGCAATACAGCCAGCAATACTTATTATTAGAAATTGTAGCATTTTTCAATTCAAGGGAAACAACTCTTATAATTTCACATTGTACAATAAAATTGACAAAATACTGGAATATACTGCTTCGAGAGTTGGCTGTAAGATTAAAAGTTTAGAGGTTAATGAACTTTAATTACATAACCTTTACCATATTCCAAAGACTTGTCCTTAAAGTAAATTACACTTTAAATTATTTAATACTACATAAAATTCATCATTTAAAATTTAAAATCACATATGGACTATCCCAGTATTTGGAAGAAACATTATAAGCATACAAATAGTACAAAAGTGCTTTTTTGACATACTTTACTAAAGCATTCAAGAGTCATTCATAATTTCTCTTCAGTCGTCATTTTCAGCTTAATTTCTAAATGATTTACACCACGCATTGGTTCAATAATTTCCATATAATGACTGAAATTATACAATAATGGCTGATAATCTTTCATAAACAAGGCCTTGTCTGTGGTAACGTTAATAATTAACAGTAATAACTCTAATGATTGAGGAACTCTGAACACTAACTATTATGGATTAAGTTTGTAAATATCTAATTTTCACTTCACGTAAATGTCATTGAGGACACACCCCCACTCCTGATCAATATAACTCTTATTCATGTTACTGTGTATTTTTTTTCTCAAGTCTAACAAAATTAAACCTCTTTTCATCTTCATGCACATTCACTGCTGCTTTTTTATCCCCTCGCAATGGAGTTGGCGGGGACATATAGTAATGTGCTTGTGTGTGTTTGTGTGTTAGTTTGTCCTTGTGTGAAACAGAAGTGACATATAATCTGCATCAGAATCAATGTCGAATACTGTAATGATTTATAGATTTATAGATGTGCTCTTTGCCAGGGGATGCTCAGTGCTTTGCAGTGCTCTTGTTTGTGTGTGTTTTCTTAATAAGAAGATTTTTATTGTGTGTGTATTGTGATATCTTTCAGAAAAGCTTTCTTTAATAAAGGACTCCATCTGCATGTATGATAATAAATATTATTATCCTTCAGACTAAGACCATTAAAACTGATTGGTTTAGAGCATGTCATATTCAGGGAAACAATTCATGATATCTTCCTCAACTGTGCTATCTCAAATGTGTTATTCTTCTAGTATTATAATAGTACAATTAAGGAATTAATTTAATAACTATACACAATTTATATGGTTTAAAAAAGGTTGGGGCAGTTTACGCTTCATAAACCACAAAGTGATTTATAAAAAAGCGTAAACTGTTCCAACCAACTTCATACCATATAAATTGGGTAGCTATTAATTTTCACTCCTTATAATTTTTCGTTTATTTATAGTATGAAAAAAAAAGATTATTGCTCTTAAAATATGACTTCAAATTGTACAAAATTAAACGTAACATCAGGCGGAACAATATGTTTTTGACATGTCATTGTTATGTAGGCAACCCAGGATATACGCTATATTATAATTTTTTTATCCAATCAAATGACACATTACAACCAAATTTAAATTATTTACATATAGAGCGATCAATGGAAAGAATGTTTAAATGAGCTTGAATGTCAGAATCCTACGGAAACCGGTAGGTGCCAGGTAGAAAAATATTTTATCTGGCGGCCGCCAAATAATTTTCTGGCAGCCGCCAGAAATTTATCTGGTGGCCACCAAAAAAATATCTGGCGGACGCCAGATAAATATTTGGCGGCCGCCAGATAACTTATCTGGCGGCCGCCAAATATTTATCTGGCAGCCGCCAGAAAGTTATTTGGCGGCCGCCAGATAACTTTCTGGTGGCCGCCAGATAAGTTATATGGCGGCTGCCAGAAAATTATTTGGCAGCCGCCAGATAAGTTTCTGGCGGCCACCAGTTATTTATCTGGCGGCCGCCAGATAAAAAATTTTTTCTACCTGGCACCAACCGGCTTCCATAGAATCCTTACTTATTTACATGTAACATTTAGTAAATACAACAGCTCCTGTTTTCATCGGGCTCATGGGCAATAAAACTTAGATAAGCTAACTTTTGATCTCTGCAATCTTACTTTTTACCAAAGAAATTATTAATAGTTGAAAAATGAGGCTGAGATCAAAAGTGACTGTGTCCAAGTTTTATGCCCCCTAGTCTGTTTTCAACTAACACTACTAAGGTATACTCAAAATTTTCAAGGTTACATAACACCAAGAAGTAGATTTGTAGGAATGATTGTTTATTTTTTAATGCCGAGTCAGCAATATTTCAGCCATCTTTCAGCAGTGATTTTTAAGCCAATATTAGCCTAATGTTCAGATTTTTAGGACAATATTGATGTTTTGATCTGCGCCTTTAAAGACTATAAATTAAACAAATTATGCTTATTAATTTATGAAAAATAAAGATTTATACTTACATTAGTCATATTCCTCAGCTCAAGCTACAATCCTGCATTTTCTTCCTTTCATCCAAAAAGCAGATGTTGATGACATCATCAATGACATCACAATTAATCTATTCACTCCAAAATGACATCATCATAATTATTTTTTTTATTCTATCTCTGAAGAGCTGATATAATTCTTATAAATCTACCTGTTGTACATTTTATCATATACATAACATTTATATAAATCTTCCTATCACAAAACCTGTGTGCTGCATCATAACAAATATCATATACATTGATATGACATCATCACTTTTTGCGTACTTACATGACCTGTACTCTATGTCCTCATCCCAGGAGAGCTCGTCATCAGAATCTGTGTTCCACACATCACTGAACTGGTCCCTCGCTGATTGGCTGTTAAATGACCGCAGGGGCTGCTCCTCCTGAGATGGCCCGAGATGACCCTTTTCTCGGGACTTGGCCCAGCTGCCTTTTTTTAACCTCATGGCTTTTCTGTGGACAACATCTGTGACCCCTACAAATAAACATAGGTAATCAGAGATTACAGAGCTCACCTCAACGAATGTTGCCTTTAAGTAAGGCAAAGTCCCACACTAAACTAATAATCTAGAAGTGTGCATCCCTAGATGCAACATTTATGCAATTTTGGTCTGATAGGGCTTGCAGTTACTTGGTAATAGACTTATCTGAAAACTTAAAACTAGTCACTCATCCAGAAAATGTAAGTCAAATCCAGCATCTGAAGCAAGTTTTGAGATTGTTCGTCCCTTTATGCATCATCCATGCAAGTTTTGATCAGATAGGCCTTATAGTTACTTTGAAATGAGATCTGCTCCAAAAATTTTAATCTGGTTATTCATCCAGAAAATGTAGGTCAGATCCAGCATCCGAAGCAAGTCCAGTAGTGTGAATCCTTAGATGTATCATCCATGCAAGTTTGGTCAATATAGGGTTTATAGTTACTTGGAAATGACATCTGCTCCAAAAACTTTGACCTGGTCACTCATCCGGAAAATATAGGTCAGATCCAGCATCCGAAGCAAGTCCAGTTGTGTGAATCCTTAGATGTATCATCCATGCAAGTTTGGTCAATATAGGGTTAATAGTTACTTGGAAATGAGATCTGCTCCAAAAACTTTAACCTGGTCACTCTTCCAGAAAATATAGTTCAGATCCAGCATCTGTAGCAAGTCCAGTAGTGTGCATCCTTAGATGTATCATCCATGCAAGTTTGGTCGATATAGGGCTTATTGTTACTTGGAAATGAGATCTGCTCCAAAAACTTTAACCTGGTCACTCTTCCAGAAAATATAGGTCAGATCCAGCATCCGAAGCAAGTCCAGTAGTGTACATCCTTAGATGTATCATCCATGCAAGTTTGGTCAATATAGGGTTTATAGATACTTGGAAATGAGATCTGCTCCAAAAACCTTAACCTGGTCACTCATCAGGAAAATATAGGTCAGATCCAGCATCCGAAGCAAGTCCAGTAGTGTGCATCCTTAGATGTATCATCCATGCAAGTTTGGTCAATATAGGGTTTATAGTTACTTGGAAATGACATCTGCTCCAAAAACCTTAACCTGGTCACTCATCCGGAAAATGTAGGTCAGATCCAGCATCCGAAGCAAGTTCAGTAGTGTGCATCCTTAGATGTATCATCCATGCAAGTTTGGTCAATATAGGGCTTATAGTTACTTTGAAATGAGATCTGCTCCAAAAACCTTAACCTGGTCACTCATCCGGAAAATGTAGGTCAGATCCAGCATCCGAAGCAAGTTCAGTAGTGTGCATCCTTAGATGTATCATCCATGCAAGTTTGGTCAATATAGGGCTTATAGTTACTTGGAAATGAGACCTGCTCCAAAAACTTTAACCTGCTCCAAAAACTTTAACCTGCTCCAAAAACATTAACCTGGTCATTCTTTAGCTGAAATTGCAGCATCTGAAACCTTGATTGGTACAATGAAACACACTAGAAGCATCCTCCATGCATCTCTGACTAATATAGGCCATAGAAGTACTTGAAAAGAAAACTGCTCCAAAAACCTTAACATGGGACGTCGACGCCGAGGGTATTACATAAGCTCCCCCAACTTCGTTGAGGTGAGCTAAAAATACAATGTATGTTGGGAGTACTTTTCATAACAAATGAACTGCGAGTCCATCATGACTGATTTGAATGACCACAAGAACTAACAAAATGAAGTGTTGCTTGCTACCACCGCTCTCTGTGATGTGGATAAGAATACATGCTTTTAATCTAAGCAAGAGACAGGAACAGCAAAATATATCAAAGCAAATAAATCTACCATTACTGACCAGTTTAAGACACAGTCCTCTGCTTGTTAATTCCTTCATATTTACTTATGTTGATTGTTTTAAAATAGTATACAGCACATATTTTTTGAAAAAATGTCCTCAGTATGTAGAAACTTAAGATTTCACATGACCATGCCATAAACAAGCCACAGAGTGAAGATCAGAGATCAACGAGGAAATGACAAGACAAAATGAAGGCCTACATTTGTACACACGTCAAATAAAACATGCGTCAAAAGTAAACGGCTCCAGAAACACGCACAAGGTAAATTCAGCCCCTCTTTTTACCTTTAAGATTTACATCTCAATTTTAAAATATAATTTCAATATGAGAATATTGTTCACTGTAACAATTTGCAAACTGTGTCAATATAAGGTAGGAAAGAGATTGTGTTGATCTTTGAGCATGTGTTGATACTGTGCTTTCGGTTTGTATAAGAAATATTGATTTACAATACCTTTTTTTCTGTAGTATGTCATTAAAGTCAAATTGAATTAATATCATTTTACATCTGTTGACAAAGTTGTTATGCATCACCTTCACTGTTGTTAAAAAGAAAAAAAAAAAATACTTCTGAGAAAGTCTAACATTGGACTTATGAAACTTATTAACAATAATTTGTTAAAATCATTCGTCTTACCTTTTATAATCAGAACATGTTAAAAGTATATTTAGGAATGTTCATTAATAAATTCACAAATAGTCAAACAAAATTTCAGCACACAAGCTTTGTTGTCAAAAAACATTAACAGGTAACCTGCAGGTAAAATTACAGGTAATTTAAATAATGTGTTTGTGCATTAATGATTAATTGTCCAATGCCCCAAAAATCCAATAACAATCACAGGTTATTTTGCTGCACATAACTTATACAAAAGCTTATAATATTATACTATTTTCACCTACAAATCAAAATCTGGTGAGTACAATTATATAAAGAACCAAATGAAAAAATCTCCATTTAAAGATAATTTTATCTTCTAATTGATTTTTTAACTGTTGAATAATATGAGAGAGGGTCAACACGAAACAAAGGGAGGGACAGGGAGGTGAGAAGATAAGCAGTAAATGTGACCACTTCATTAACTTAACGAAGTGGTCCATCTATACCAGGGACTTAAATACTAAAGTTTGTATATAAAGGTCCCTGTCTATACATAGACTGTGTATGTACATTTATGTACATACAGAGGAAAATAAAACACTTTTGTACATGCAGCCATGAAAAAATGCAGCCATTAATTAAGCTAGTATAATCAGGTACACCAAACATGTATTTACACAGGATATAAAAAGAAATCAAATTTATGGTAGGAATTAAAAATTAAAAAATCAAATTCTTCATTTATTTATCAACTAAAATCTTAAATTGATTATATCGAACATCCTGCTTACCTAGAGAACTGAGGAAAGAGCACTTATGACATTGATTTTTGGATATTAATACGACAGGAGTCAACCAAGCATGTCAGGGAAGAGAATTAAAGTGTGATAGAAAAACACCATCGATATATCAGTCAACATCTGTTCAGTACACCTTCAGAGTTGACACCAGCCTCTATAAGGTCACAATGTGTTCCATCTGTAACCTTCACAGACAGAAAATCTGATACATGTAGAGCTACGTACAGTATATATGTGTTATAATTATTGAATGATCACTGGCAGATTTAGAGGGGGGCCCAGGGGGCACGCCCCCCCCCCCTTTTGTGTCCAAAATATACATAAGATTTAATTAATCATTTTTTTTTGGGGGGGGGGTGGCTGTGGGCCCCTACCCAGACCCCAAACTGGTCGCCCCAACCCCCTTTTCAAGATTCCTTGATCCACCACTGATGATGTACAAGTCTAGCTTTAAGTTACTTTTTCACAACACAGAACAGACATCACTCAGTGATAAATCACCATTTTTCAGTCTTTTTTGTTTTTAAGTTCATCAAATACTCTTTTGTTATACCTTTAAAAACATTTCCCTTATAAAATAAGTCTAGCATTTCCAATGTTTTACTGAGCGGTCAAAAAAATAATATAAGTCCACAGAGTTAGATATGGGACCAGTCCTGTTGATTATAATTTGGACAGCTTACGTCACACTGTGGGCAGGATCAACTTTTTTGCATTCACTGGTGTTTGATAGCTACAGAAATGACTGAATTTAATTAAGCCACGTGCAGTGCGGGTTAACAAAATTTACATCTGACATGGAAGTCAGCACAATTTACTAGTATGTGAAAAAAAGTAGAAGGTACACTATAACCATTAAAACAATACACTTACTTAATGGATTCTCTAGCAGAATGTCTTCTGACCACCCTTCCAGACTTATGGCCTCAGGCAAACAGTTTGGTTCTTGGGTTTGACAAAATGCCTTCAAACCCAGTCTAGGGCTCTCCCACCACTTTTTGGGAATGGGGCCGGGGCCGTAAAGATTGGGAAAATAACAACCTTTTGGGAAATTTTGGGATAACCATTATACTTTAAAATCATGATATATTGGATTTCTGGTCTTTCAAGTTTGCTATCAACTAAATTCCTAACTTTTACAATACAGAGGAATATGAATAGCAAGTTTAGTTATTACATATACCCGACTATACTTTCTTTAATTTTTGGGAGAAATGACTATTGGGAAAATCAACACATCAATTGGGAAAAAGGTACCTTTAACTTTTGAATAGGGAATGGGGCCCCTGAATGGCCCAAATATAGACAATCGAGAGCCCTGCAGTCAAGAAAAATGTATTAATAAGTAATGGATATATGCCGAATACAGTTCTATATGTAAAATTATCAGACTGTTTGAGGCCCGTTAGGGCCGAAAACAGTCTGATAATTTTACATATAGAATTGTATGAGGCATATATCTTACTTAAAACATTGCTATTTAAATGTCCAAAAGTTACCTGGAGGAGTCCGATAATAACACAATGGGAGTTCAGGCATCAATAGTTTTCTACCTGAAACCATCTAATAAGTAGACAAAAGAAAAGAGAAAGTTTTTTTTCTTTAGACAGGAAAACCAGTGAGTGAACTCTTTTGTTTCATTCATTCATTCATTCATTCATTCAATGGCAGTCGTTTGGCTTAGCAGGAACTATGGACAATGGTCAGGTGATGAAGAATTTTTTTTTATGATTCGGAATATTTTTTTTATTAAGTACGTTTGACATTGATACAATGTTGGATGATATCTTCAAAATTCATTTAAAGTAAAAATGCGGATTTTTATCTAAAAATTTGATTGGATGATATAATGAAAATCTAGGGTTTTAAAACTGCGGTCATTGTCGAACAAACCTCGTTAAAAGAAGAGATTCGCAGACTGGTTCTTTATCAGAAATGGATTTAAATTGGCTTATTCACAGTGCTGTATCGAAAACGCTTTGCAAAAAACTGAATGGAAAGTGTTACTTTTGAGGAAGGTTAAAACTCCAGTTTCTTTTTCTTGGATTCGCTATTTTTAACAACTGAATTTCCTCGCGTTCGCTTTCTCTGAATTTGTTCTCCCTAACTTTTTTTTGATTTCTGGGCATATTAAACCTTGATTTCACTCTAGTTGTTGTTTTTAACTACTGTCCGATTTTGTTATCACTGCCGTCCGATAATATATTATTGGACTGGTAATTATTATTATCGGACGGCTACAGGTAAATTTTTAGACTGCAAGAACAAAGGCATGACGTCACAGCAATGTTTTAATTTATCTTAACTACATATTCATTTTTTTTTTTTAATTTTTTTGTGTGTATACGTAACAGGAGAGGAGAAAATTGCAGCGGACCAGACCGGGGTTTGAACCCTGGCCCCATGATCTCTAGTCAGGTGCTCTAGCTACATGTACAGACCTGTTTACCAATATTGTTGTCTCTCAGTATTTTTTATTAGATTTGTCAGTGAGATTTGGCATTTGCCAGTAAGATTTCACTCTCCATCAATTTTTCATATATTGATAGAGAACAACTATATTTCTGATTACCAAAACATGGGTTTCTGTAATTTTTGAAACCACCGCGTTTTGAGAACACGACATCACTGAGTGTTTTAAATCTTTTTCTTTTATTAGCGATTAAAAGGCATCAAACTGAGACAGATCATAACAAAAACTAACTGCTAAAATCCAAAGGAAATGATTTCTGATTTTCGTCTTTATAATAGCAAAACGTGAGACGTATTTTGGACTAAAAATCCATACAAAATACGGCGAAATCTTAAGAGTAAACAGGTCTGTAGCTACTGAGCTATCTCAGGCCACCAGCGATCAAACCTGTCTGACTGCCACATTTGCAACCAGCAACTATGTACTCAGGCCAAGATAAATAAATAGTGTGTTTCCTATTCCAACCTGAGAAAAAATAGGGTAGGTAGGTAGGGAAAACATTTTATTTTAATATTTAACTGGTAAGCACGCTACCATTTTTCCCCAGGGAAATCATGTCGCCGTCAAAACATTTTTGATTAGTGTGTATAGGATATGCATTTTCTGAAACACGGAAGTGATCGAGATTAGGATTTCTAATAGTGAAACTGGAAAAGTTTACTCCTGGAAAGATATCTGCGGATAAATTTTTTAGGGTCGGCTCATATATTTTAGGGTCGGTCAGGGAACCGGAAACACACAATTTATTTATCTAAGCCTCATTTTGAAGTACCTCAAAAAATAATTTTTTTTCCGTAGCTGATTTGATCATCCTCTGGGTGAATCAAAGGAATTTTGCAATGGAGGAGGCTAATTAAGATACATACATGTAATTCATTACAAAGGAAGAGGTCGAGTTAATCATAATGTGATGGATGACATGAAGACTTAAACTCTGGTCTCTGAACTCTATGTAATAACATATACATTGCTGAAAGGGAAGTCTTCAATGTCTTTAAGTCACTCTAAAACTGGGGGGGGGGGGGGGTGTAACAATTTAATGAAGTGAAACATTTTTAAAATGGACCCCTGCCCTTTTACAAATCCTTCGATCTGTCTGTGAGATTTTCTACTACATGTATAACCATATGTTAAGCAATCTGCCTGAAAGTGAGAGATGATCAGATTGAAAGAGGTTACATGAACTGTAACCATTAGTTGGCATTAACTCCGTCATGTAAAATTTTTTTGAACAGCAATAAAGGATAAACGTCCCTCAGCCTATAATAGGTCCCTGGTTTTACCTTTCGAATTCATGTATCCTACATCCAAATTTTCTCAAAGTTGAAATCCATTGCATTCCAACTCTCTACAATGGAGTTTGTGTCATAGAACTTAAAATAACAACATTATTAATCAATGGAAATACCGTCGGCAACCCGGCGTTACCCGCGGTTTTGTTTTGTTTATATATGGAGAATGGATTCCCGAGCGCGACTTCAAAACAAGTTTGTTTTGATTTTCCGTGATCCCTCCATAAGCATATGTTCTTTTTCTACATTTAGAAAAGTTCAATTTAATTTTTAATTTTGAAAGGGAAGGGGGTGTTTGTTTTGGAAAAAAAGAGAACTCATCGAATGATTTTCCGTCCCTAGCATTGGCGGATCCAGAGGAGGTCCGAGGGTTGGGACCCCCCTTTTTTTTGCCAATTAGAGAAAGGAGAGAGAGAGAGAGAACAATTTTTCTGGAATAGATATTGTATGTTTTGAATATGTACATGTAGTTCAAAAGGACCTCAATCTCTGCGCATATCCCCTTCTTATAAATTGAGTCTCACATAATTATTCCCTTTCCTCCATTTACCTTCATTATCTCTTCCATTCAGAGTTTTTATTTATGAGTGAACAGTACAAAATATTCTAGTACATATTTCAATATATGATAAGTAATATGCGAGATTCCATTTGATATCAGACTCCGACATTCTTTGGTTAAATTATAAATAATTATACTATTTTTGGATTATCTCTTATGTAAGTCATCAAAAGATGGGGTAAATTAATTTATTCTTTGTTTTACGCCCTCTGGCGGATATACAGTGTAGAGTTTCAGGAAAATGCAGTCAAAAACTGAAAAAAGCGAACACACAAACACATTTTTTTGTCTCTCGCAAAATTCTCAACAAATTTTCTTGGAAAAACAGTTTTCAGTTGGAATGTGTTTATTTTTATTCGGACTGGGGGATACCTTTTCAAAGAGTTAAGTGACGTAAAACAAATTCATTATTTTCCAGGGCCATATGTTAGCCTGGGTGATTTTTCTCTCCCTGTGTGTGTGTGAATCTATGTTTGAGTGTGTGTGGTGGGTGGTACCACCCTGGAACCCCTTTTCAAAAATCACTGGATCCGCCCCTCCCTAGTTTCTTTTTATTTGTAATTAATTACATGTACATGTTATATGACACAATCTTACAAATTCTGTGCTGAAATCCAGTTTTCTTTCTATATCTACCTGTGAAATAAAATAAAAAAAATATTTGAGTTAGCATATATATAATAAATTCAGAGTTTTATACAATGTAATTTCCGACATTTCAAACTTTTCTCATTTGGTCTGAAGAAATGTTACATCTCCATCTTCGCTAGCCCACTTACATGTACGATCCGCTATGTACACTACTCTCCAACATTGGAGAGTGGAGCTGATCGTATATACCCTTGGCTAGCGAAGATGTAACATCTCAAGCTACGGTCCGGAATCACAGACCTTACCCAGCGTCTCAAGTCACCGTCTGAAGTCTGCATATGCCCACCCAGCGTCGCATACCACGGTCTGGAGTCCACATATACTGTAGCCTTCACCCAGAGTCTCAAGTCAGGGCCAGCAGGCTGCGTAGGACTCTCTCCAGTCAGAATGGAAGAGCCTGGTACATTTTGTCGGTGGTTTCCTCCGATAGAAGAGATGATCAATAACGGTAAAATGACGCATCTCTGGACAGCGCCCACAAACCTTTGCATTGGAATGTCACCGGTGAACGAACATGAAGATAGTTGTGAGGGCACATCTGTCAGTATATTATTCCGTCAACGACTAGCACTGATAATCAAAGTACTGAAAGTACTGAAAGCCGGGCTTTAATATGTTCGAGTGTATTGTCTAATCCTAAATTAGTACATATTAGAAAATCTTTCTTTCTGACCATTGATATTTAACAGGTAGAGTTTGTATGATTATGATTAACAATAACCCATCTACCAATAATTTACGGTCCAGAATCCAACGTTAAGACCCCAGGATAGGACTTGGTGATATTTTTCATGAAAATACATTTATACCTTTCTAAACATTTAGCTCACAATGGTTATGCATGGTAACAGTGCACTTTGAGTGGTTTTGCTGATTCATACAGGCACTTATATAGTATCGGAGGAGCTAGGGGTGTCACCATTTTTCAAACATAAACCTTTACAATGGACAATGTACATTGAAAGGTTGATTGACTCTTCGCAATCAAATTTAAATTGGAACTTTCATCTCACTCTTCGTTATATAAACCAGGTATTTATCACGAGCGACGAACAGATTTACTAAAAGCAAATTGGATATAGTCTAATTTTAATTAGATTGTACCATCATTTTATTGTAGCATATTAAAAGTACGGTAATTTGGTAATGAATTAATGAAATTCGAAATGTGAAAGTAAGTTGTAGCCCACCCCTACTCCTTCTCCAACGGAATAGGATTTTCGGGTTTGGACAATTCTCCTTTTTTCTGATAATGATACTACATGCCTGTATTAATCAGAAAAGAAATATTCTTTATTTTTGGTCCTCTAGGAAACCAGCTGCACGAAAATTATAATTATCTAATCTTTATGACATGAATATGAGTCTAGTTCTAGTTCCAGGTTCGGCCATAATGGTCATTGCCTGAGAAAATCATGATGTATTCAGGTCTTTATGGCTCGTACATAGATGGCTCTTCATTCTGAACAGGAAGTTTTGAAGCAAAGACTAACCAACTTTTTTTGAAAAATTATTATATGTGTTGTACTTAGATAAAGACTAATGAACATTTTTATATGTTGTTTTCTTTTAATTATATATTAACATAAACGAATTTTATTTCCGAGCACCCTTGAGAGCTTGCATGTGTTTTAAGACCTTTTTTTGGAATGCGCGCGCACGCTCAATATACTGTAAAGCGCTTTGGGAGCACATGCGAGATGAATCCAAGGTGAGAAGTCTCGAACAAAATTTTCACATTCAAAACATACCATTGACTTTTCACTAAAAATTTGATCTGAATTTGTAAGCATAAAAATTTTCGACGCTAAATTGATTGTTAAATGGGTATAAATAATTTATATATTATACATAAACATATTCACATGAAATTTCTATCTTAAAGTTTACATTTTTATTTAATTATATTCCATGCTTCACAGAAAATAAATCTTTATCCCAGTCCTTTAAATTAATACTATTAAATTAAAATATTAACCAAATGGAATCGCATTGTTTATTTCATATTATGAAAGAAAACAAATAGTTTTGAACTTCATTTACATCACCTTTACACAAGATCTTAGCCGCTCGCGTGGCGCAGTGGTAAGAGCGTCTGCTCTAGAGTCGCGAAGTAAGGGGTTCGAATCCCACTGTGGGACGTGGAGACCGGTCCTTCCGTTGAGACCGTATAAACCGAGGTCCCGTGTCGCAATAGGTGCTTGCACGAAAAAGATCCCTCACTGCTCAATGGCCATAAGTGCCGAGTATAGGACAAAATTTGGAGCTCTCCACCGGCAAGTGGTAGTGTCTCCATATGAGTGAAAAAATTCTCGAGAGGGACGTTAAACAACATACAAACAAACAAATACAAGATCTTAACCATCATAAGGATTTTTTTTTCGAAATTATTTATTAGAAAGGAGAAAGTTATTTTAATTGCATTCAGGGTTATCGAAGTAATACCGTATTTTCAAACCCTTTTCTTTAAACGCATTCAAATTTTAACTTATTTATTTGAGTAGTAATATATTGAAAACACTACAGCATTACCAGTATTACAACTGTAAGATTAATCTTCATGAATATTTACATACATACATCATTAGGCTAAAAAAAAAATTGTTTGTTTCCGGTTATACCCGACTGACCTCCTACACATTTTTTTTTTTCGGAAAATTACGAGTATCCGTAACTGTCTCTTTGTTTTACGAATTCGTAATGGCGGCGCACTTGTTTGCTGCAAGTAGTCGGTGTTCGCTGTTATTTTATGCCGTTAATATAATCATAAAATCATCATCTTTTTGCAATTATTTTGAAAGGAAAAATTTAATAAATTGTCTCCTGTTAAGCCGTTTTCACAAGATCAACCCTGAAAATATCAGCAGAAATTAACACGGTATCGTACCAAATTACATCTGATAAATGACCACCGATGTTTTTAAAATTCATTATTACATTAAATTTCTTGCCATTCAAGACACCTTAATGCTATACTGATCTTAAAAAAACAATTACAGATATCACGACATTGTCAGTGAGCTTACTGTTTATACATGCATCACGGACGTAAATTCAGACTAATTATACTATAATATCAGTAAACGAACAAAAAATGTCATACAATTTTTTTTAATTCTACCAATAACATATGGCTAGTGAGGAGAATATATAAGTCATTTGTTTTATTTAATGTCACTAATTTAAACATTTAAGGTCACTAATTTTAACTTTTAAGAAAACAATTAATTTTTTACAAAAAATGTTTGTCTGTCAATTGCCAAACTTTTTTTTAAAAGAATGTTGAACCATATGGTTTGCTGATTTTTCTTTAGATATATTTGAATTAGAAATTTATTTAAAAAAATTATATTCATATTGGTTTAATAATTTATGTAATTCATAGTTAAAGAAATGCACATATTTTTAGAGATATTCTTAAAGTTTCAAACAAACAGTACTTTTATCGCCGACTAGATACACCAGATACACCATGTACAATTGTCAGGCGACCTAATTCAGGCATAACGCACATTAATTAATTCTTTAAACTCCAATTTACTTATCTATTTATTTGCTGAAAGACAAAACAGAGAATATAACCACTCACATAACATCGATGAAAACGATATGAAATATAGGCAACCTGTCGAAAAGCCCGCGCTTATTGAAAATAGTTCGCTTACAATATGCATTCAGTAGCGTATGTGCACAAATTGTTATATCACGATTACCCTAATAAAGTAAATATCTAATTCCTCTTTCAATTTAATTCTCAAACAAAAATATTGATCAATTAACAATTCCGTAGATTGAGATGTAAAAAATATTTGTTTAAGTATCGTCTTTCAATGTGACTATTTTGTTTATCGGAAGCGTCTGCTTTGA